AAATTCAACACAGTAATTATGCAAATATTCAAGAATATAATTTTTTAAGTGCAATTCATTTGTGCATTGAGATAAATACAGTTCAATTTCTTCCCATTTCTTGGAAAGATTTTGAATGGTCAGAGATTGAATAAATTGGAATACACACAACTTTTTCAATTCTATAAATTCATTATTCTGGAATAATCCTAAAATGAATAATACATTCAAAATTTCGTCATCATTAAATTTCAATTTAATCTCATTATAAAGTTGCGAGTCAATTAATTTTTGAATAATTTGCTGTTGAGTTGAATTCAGAGATGAAATTAGTGGCTCGTTCTTTAAAATCAATTTAGAAAATAATGGTGATAATATTTCAATGAGAGGAATGAATGCATAAATTGAGGTTTCGAATAGTAAATCTCTTGAATGTTTTTTTAACTTGATTTCAAGTTTTTGTGGATATTTAAATCCACCAATATGAGGATTTTTTGATATATCAAAAGTAGAATCACCTCCATGTCCTCGTTTCCATTTCCAGCAATTGTTATAATATTTCCATTCTCCAATATTTTTCTCGTTGTGTGATTGTTCGTTTCAGTAATATAAATTTCATAATTTGTTGAAATAAAAACACCTGATGGATGATTGAGCTGTGCATTTGTTGCATAGCCACCATCACCACCATATCCTGGCTGTTCATTTCCAGCAATTGTTTCAATATTTCCACTCTCATCTATTTTTCTAATACTATGATTGAAAGTGTCTGCAATATATACTTCATTATTTGCTGAAACAAACACGCTGTATGGACGATGGAGCTGTGCAGTTGTTGCAGGACCATTATCACCACTATACCCTGGCTGTCCATTTCCAGCAATTGTTACAATCCTTCCATTCTCTATTTTTCTAATTCTATGATTGAAAGTGTCAGCAATACAAATTTCATTATTTGTTGAAACAAAGACACTTTGAGGATAATAGAGTTGTGAGCTAGTTGCTGATCCATTATCACCTCCACATCCTGTCTGTCCATTTCCAGCAATTAATACAATATTTCCATTCTTCACTATTTTTCTAATTCTATTATTATTTTTGTCGGCAATAAAAACTTCATTGTTTGTTGAAACAAAGACACCCGATGGATAATTGAGTTGTGCACTTGTTGCAAGACCATTATCACCACCATATCCCTGCTTTCCATTTCCTGCAATTGTTACAATATTTCCATTCTTCAATATTTTTCTAATTTTATGATTGTTAAAGTCGGCGATGTATACTTCATTATTTGTTGCTGAAA